GTAGTGTGGGTGGGCTGAGTGTGGTTAGTACCCAGCGCAGGTTATAAGGCTCCAGCGTGACTCTGGTGGTCACGCAGGGTAGTGTGGGTGGGCTGAGTGTGGTTAGTACCCAGCACAGGTTATAAGGCTCCAACGTGACTCTGGTGGTCACGCAGGGTAGTGTGGGTGGGCTGAGTGTGGTTAGTACCCAGCGCAGGTTATAAGGCTCCAGCGTGACTCTGGTGGTCACGCAGGGTAGTGTGGGTGGGCTGGTGTGGTTAGTACCCAGCGCGGAGTTACTCGGCTCAGCGTGACTGGTGGTCCCCGCAGGAAGGTGTCAGGTGGGCTGAGTGTGGATTTAGTACCCAAGCGCGGGTTATAAGGCTCCAGCGTGACTCTGGTGGTCACGCAGGGTAGTGTGGGTGGGCTGAGTGTGGTTAGTACCCAGCGCAGGTTATAAGGCTCCAGCGTGACTCTGGTGGTCACGCAGGGTAGTGTGGGTGGGCTGAGTGTGGTTAGTACCCAGCGCAGGTTATAAGGCTCCAGCGTGACTCTGGTGGTCACGCAGGGTAGTGGAGTGGGCTGAGTGTGGTTGGTACCCAGCAGGTTATAGGCTCCAGCGTGACTCTGGTGGTCACGCCGAGGTAGTGTAGGTGGGCTGGTGTGGTTAGTACCCAGGGTTATAAGGCTCCAGCGTGACTCTGGTGGTCACGCGGGGTAGTATGGTGGGCTGGGTGTGGTTGGTACCCAGCGCCAGGTTATAAGGCTCAGCGTGACTCTGGTGGTCACATGAGGTAGTGTGGGTGGGCTGAGTGTGGTTAGTACCCAGCGCAGGTTATAAGGCTCCAGCGTGACTCTGGTGGTCCGCAGGGAGTAGTGTGGGTGGGCTGAGTGTGGTTGGTACCCAGCGCAGGTTATAAGGCTCCAAGCGTGACTCTGGTGGTCACGCGGGAGTAGTCAATGAATTGGGCTGAGTGTGGTTGGTACCCAGCGCGGGTTATAAGGCTCCAGCGTGACTCTGGTGGTCACGCGAGGGTAGTGGGTGGGCTGAGTGTGGTTAGTACCCAGCGCAGGTTATAAGAGCTCCAGCGTGACTCTGGTGGTCACGCGGGTAGTGTGGTGGGCTGGTGTGGTTAGTACTAGCGCGGGTTATAAGGCTCCAGCGTGACTCTGGTGGTCACGCGGGGTAGTATGGTGGGCTGGTGGTTGGTACCCAGCGCAGGTTATAAGGCTCCAGCGTGACTCTGGTGGTCACGCGGGGTAGTTTGGTGGGCTGAGTGGTTAGTACCCAGCGCAGGTTATAAGCTCCAGCGTGACTCTGGTGGTCACGCAGGAAGTAGTGTGGTGGGCTGGTGTGGTTGGTACCCGCGGGTTATAAGGCTCCAGCGTGACTCTGTGGTCACGCGGGGTAGGTGTGGTGGGCTGAGTGTGGTTAGTACCCAGCGCGGGTTATAAGGCTCCAGCGTGACTCTGGTGGTCGCGGGGTAGTGTGGGTGGGCTGAGTGTGGTTAGTACCCAGCGCAGGTTATAAGGCTCCAGCGTGACCTGGTGGTCACGCAGGGAGTAGTATGTGGGCTGGGTGTGGTTGGTACCCAGCGCAGGTTATAAGGCTCAGCGTGACTCTGGTCACTTGAGGTAGTGTGGTGGGCTGAGTGTGGTTGGTACCCAGCGCAGGTTATAAGGCTCCAGCGTGACTCTGGTGGTCAGGGGGCAGTGTGGGTGGGCTGAGTGTGGTTAGTACCCAGCGCAGGTTATAAGGCTCCAGCGTGACTCTGGTGGTCACGCAGGAGGTAGTGTGGTGGGCTGAGTGTGGTTAGTACCCAGCGCAGGTTATAAGGCTCCAGCGTGACTCTGGTGGTCACGCAGGAGTGTGGGTGGGCTGAGTGTGGTTAGTACCCAGCCAGGTTGCTCCCAGCGTGACTCTGGTGGTCACGCAGGGGTAGTGTGGTGGGCTGAGTGTGGTTAGTACCCAGCGCAGGTTATAAGGCTCCAGCGTGACTGGTGGTCACGCAGGGAGTAGTGTGGGTGGGCTGAGTGTGGTTGGTACCCAGCGCAGGTTATAAGGCTCCAGCGTGACTCTGGTGGTCACGCAGGGTAGTGTGGTGGGCTGAGTGTGGTTAGTACCCAGCGCAGGTTATAAGGCTCCAGCGTGACTCTGGTGGTCACGCAGGGGTAGTGTGGGTGGGCTGAGTGTGGTTGAGTACCCAGGCGCGGGTTATAAGGCTCCAGCGTGACTCTGGTGGTCACGCGGGAGTAGTGGAGTGGGCTGAGTGTGGTTAGTACCAGCGCAGGTTATAAGGCTCCAGCGTGACTCTGGTGGTCACGCAGGGGTGTGTGGGTGGGCTGAGTGTGGTTGGTACCCAGCGCAGGTTATAAGGCTCCAGCGTGACTCTGGTGGTCACACAGGGGTAGTGTGGGTGGGCTGAGTGTGGTTAGTACCCAGGCAGGTTATAAGGCTCCAGCGTGACTCTGGTGGTCACGCGGAGGTAGTGTGGGTGGGCTGAGTGTGGTTGGTACCCAGCGCAGGTTATAAGGCTCCAGCGTGACTGGTGGTCACGCAGGAGGTAGTGGGGTGGGCTGGTGTGGTTAGTACCCAGCGCAGGTTATAAGGCTCAGCGTGACTCTGGTGGTCACGCAGGGTAGTGTGGGTGGGCTGAGTGTGGTTAGTACCCAGCAGCGGGTTATAAGGCTCCAGCGTGACTCTGGTGGTCACGCAGGGTAGTGTGGGTGGGCTGAGTGTGGTTAGTACCCAGCGCAGGTTATAAGGCTCCAGCGTGACTCTGGTGGTCACGCAGGGTAGTGTGGGTGGGCTGAGTGTGGTTAGTACGCCATGGAGAGTCGTCCCTCGACCTCTCATGCTAAAAGTAGTGTACGGTAATATCCCCGTTAACCGCAACAATTGGTGCAGAACACTTCCGGGAATGACAGATTTCCGGGTAGCGCAATGACTCTCAAAGCTGGAAAAAATCACCCATCCCCGGAATTTTCCGGAAAATTCCTGCTTTGGGAACAATTTGTTGAGAAATTTTCAATTCCGGCCATGGGAGAGTTGAGGCGATTGAGGGATTCCGGCTAATGGAGATATTACTGGAGCTGTAGTGTGTTACTGGAAAATGTTGCTATGTTTATGTTATGAACGTATTTATTTGTGGAATTATTACAGTATTCAGATAATTGTATATATGACATACTGTACTGTGCTGTACTGTACTGTGCTCTACTGTACTGCACTCTATTGTACTGTACACTGTACTGTACTGTACACACTGTACTGTACTGTACACACTGTACTGTACATACTACACTGTACTGTACACACTGTACTGCACTCTATTGTACTGTACACACTGTACTGTACTGTACACACTGTACTGTACTGTACATACTGTACTGTACATACTACACTACTGTACACACTGTACTGCACTCTATTGTACTGTACACACTGTACTGTCCTGCACTCTATTGTACTGTACTGTACACACTGTACTGTACATACTACACTGTACTGTACACACTGTACTGCACTCTATTGTACTGTACACACTGTACTGCACTCTATTGTACTGTACACACTGTACTGTACTGTACATACTGTACTGTGTAAGTTTGTCACACAAAAGAGTTGATCAGTAGCCAAGAGTATAAAGGTCACAGCACACCGGTGGTCAACACATCAGTGACTAATCCACCGTGCATAGTCCCGTTACTGTTTGAAAGACGTTCTTCTGGCGTGGATATTGTTAGGCGAGATATTTGACTAGTGTCATCCGACTAAGCTCTCCATCACCACCAACAGGAATAGTCAGGACAATTTGTGTCATTATCACTCCATTGGGAAAGGCATGGAGTAAATACCTTGGGTAGATGTAAAGGCCGCAGCAATTCTTCCACTAATTCGAAGGTTTGTTTCACACTTAACTCATTGACTAATCAGGTACTGTATTTAATATTATTGTGTGTTTCTGCGTCGCTAAACTCATGGTGCATTAATATCGAGACATTACCAGTGATAATAGCGGAGGTGTACCGAGTAAGTCCACCCGACGACTTTGTTCTTCTTCGAGTTCCTGCACAACTGACGTCCGTAGATGAAGCTTTAAAATAAATTCCACACGATTTATGACAGTATTCCGTTAGCTGCAATAATAACCTCACGTTGTCTGTCTGTGTTGATTTTATTTTAAAGTCTGGGTTAAAGTTGGATATAGTGAACTGTTCTGCTCGATGGTGACAATGATAATGTGGAGTCCAACTTATCATTTACAGTGTCTTGAAAGATATCTGAAACACACCGAGGTCCTTACCTGACTGTGTGTAAAGTGAGACTATGTTTACTGTGATGGTAGAATATTTGTCTGCTATTGGGCCAGAGAAATTAGTGTCACCATTTCATTACATTTAGTACACGAGTCAACTAGGCTGTTACGTGTAAAGACCCGGGCATAAGTGAATGGGTTATGGATATTATTACAGGTTATATCTTTTATTTTATATGTATTTTACCTTAACACAATTAATGTACTGTATACCTTTCCATTTTGGCGTCCAATTACAACACAACAAATTGTTTCTGAATGACCCGGGTAATACTCTAGTACTTTACGCTGTGTCATTGTTTAATTTCATGATGCAGTTTACGTACTGACGTTTTGACTACAGGAATTATTCTTACGATATTATTATGAAAAACTGTTTTAGCTTTTATTAATTAATTTGTTATTATTTCACAAAATTGTTTTCCACCTCGAGAAAAACAATTAGTGAAAATATAATGAGTCATATATTTTTACCTCAAGATCAGTTGTATTTAATTAACCTCACATAACCTGGAGTGATCTGACTACCTACCCTAACCCTAGAGAGCATTAAATCAGGTGAAGTAAACTGGTGGGTGGGGGGGGGGGTTACTCTTCAGGTGATCTCGATATAATAATTCCTAGACCTTCACACAAGACCCGAACACCGTCGGGGAAATTCATCCTTTGTGTATTAATTATCTCACGGGTGTTTGTTTACAGAGATCGGTCATGTCGTCTACCACGCTGACCGTCGTGCTCAAGAACTTCTACGACGAGTATATGAAGAATACCCCCAAGAAGCTGAAGATCGTGGACGCGTACCTGACCTACATCCTGGTGACGGGCGTGCTGCAGTTTGTGTATTGTTGTCTGGTCGGCACCTTCCCCTTCAACTCCTTCCTCTCGGGATTCATATGTACAATTGGCTGCTTTGTGCTGGGGGGTGAGTCGCCCTCGAGTACTGTTCTATTGTTTGTTTATTTTTGAGCTGATACCCCACTCCTCCTCCCTCCACCCCTCCTCCTCCTTCCTCCTTCCCCTCCCTTATTTTCCCCTTTCCTCCCCTCTTTCCCTCCTCCACCCACTCCCTCCTCCTCCTTCCCTCCTTATTTTCCCCTTTCCTCCCCCCTTTCCCTCCACCTCCTCCTCCCTCCTCCTTCCCCTCCCTTATTTTCCCCCTTTCCCTCCCCCTCTTTCCCTCCTCCACCCCACTCCCTCCTACCCATCCTTCTCTTCCTCTCCACTAAAGTCTCAATGGACTAGTTGACGGTCAGAGTTTTTTCCTAAGATGGCAGGTCAATGGGTAAAGATGACGCTTAAATTCACGATGGTGATGATATTTATAAATAAATTGGGCCAAAAAGTGTCAGAAATAAGGGTTACAGTTGGTAAAAAGTCCCGTGACTGTGAAAAGCTCTGTGATTGGTTGTGACGTTACTGACTGCGGTAAGCTTCCCAACGGGAGGCAGCCAGCTGTTGTTGTCCAACCTTCTCGGCTGATTGGCTCTGTAAATAAACATTATTAGCAGTGTTGTACGTTGACGGCTTCAATGGATGGCGGCAACTTTTTGTTAACGCTGACGCCATCAATTTTTTGGGCAGGTGACGCTACAGGTGACGCAGTCAACTTTTCACCCGAGCGGAGCGTCAAGTGTCAATTTGTTCGTCGACTTTTAAAATTTTCAATTTTTTCAAGTTTGATTTTCAATTATCTTGTTATAAAGACGACCAACAAGGCCATGAGGGAGTTGTTCATCAAATACAACACCTCCATCCCCTCTAGAGGAGCGCATGTTCTCCATGGTCAAGGACGTCTTGAGGCCCAAGCGCAACAGAATGAGCGACAAGCATTTTGAGATGCTAGTATTCTTGAGGGGGAACAAATGAATAATTAAAATGATATAATATAAATCATAATAAATGATTAAAAATGAATGAATATTTTTTTATTTTGCATACAGTTTGTTACTCCCATACACAGGAGAATACCACGTTTCGGGGCTGCATTTGTACTTCACTGAAAACTCGTTGACGCTAGGTGTTGATGCTGACGCTGACGGCATCAAATTTTTCGGCTGTTTACGCTGACGCTGGCTCGGCACTTTTTTTGTTGACGCGTACAACACTGATTATTAGATAATTAATTGTGCTTTATTGTGCAACACAGTAATACTATTTTGAATATACAGTATTAATATTACTAAGCACATTAACTAATTCAATGGATACTTGCTGCCCATACAACAAATTTCATAGTATAAACATTCCAAACAATATTGATATTATTTTGGTTTAGGTCATCTGGGGAACCTTAAGATTCTTTATATGGTATTAAGTACTTTAAACAGTAAGACACATTACCTCTACAGGATTTCAGTCACAAAAAATTTTTCGATCGCATTAGACAATACACATCATAGGTTAGGTTAGGTTAGGGTGAGTTACAAGGATAACTTATCATACATCGGTAACTCAAGACTAGTGATTTACGATAAAAATTAATGTCCAAATCGTTCATAACACATCGCAAACAACCAGGAAAAAACATCTAAGCACAAGGGTGACCAACTTTACCCACTATAGCCTATCTAGAATCTAAACAAACAAATACTTATGGTAGTTAAAGTAAATTATACCCATTAATTAGTATAAATGATGATATATCCCAGTGGTTCATTAGTGAATCATCAAAACAATAACAGCACTATGTTGTCATGTTAACTAGCATCAGGCATTATCAAAACAATAACTCGTCCATTACAAGAGATTAGGCTCCCCAGTTTATTTCACTTGATAATGAACCACCCTAATGCTAACCTTACCTTACCTTCACGTGATCTCCACACATTATTTTTTATAAGTGAAAGTTGAGAAGGGTAGGAGTTTGTGTGGGGGGGGGGGGAAAGGAGGAGGTGCTGAATTAGGTATTAGAACTTTGACCCTTGACCCATCTTGACCCCTGTTTTGACCTTACAGTCTTCCTCAGGCAAATGATTCACCAGAAATATAACTCCTAATACCTGGTTGTTGTTCCTCTGCCACACTCCATGTCATAAAGGATCTGGTCAATGATTATCTGCTGTGTGTGGTATTGTGCGATGCTACCAGATTATTGAGTAAGAACAATATATATTTGAGGCGGAAACTCCCATTCAGAGTGAAGAATCAACCAATGGCGTGCAAATCAGTTTCTTGTATTGGGTAGAAATAAGAATCTAATTTGGGTCCCATTGGTTGGTTCTTGAGTATCAATAGGTGTGCCTCATATAGTCAGTAGGTTAATGACGTCCAACTTTAGATGTCCAGGAATAACATCAAAACAACACATTGGTTATTTTGCCGTAAAAGATAATTATTTCTTCGGTAATAGTGGTGGTGGTAGCTACAGTTTTACATCAGTTAATATGAACAAAAGGTAACTCAGGTAGTATTTTATTATAGTAGTTTTAATCAAGAGGTAGCTACAGGTGTTAGAGTACAGTAGTGGTATAAAAACATCGCTCTTTTTTACAAGTTGGTAACAGTTGGTAGTCACACATTTTTTTTTCACGTGTTATTTTGTACTAGCTAGTTTATTGATGATCGGCGCTTAAAGGTACATTACGGCTTACAAGCTACACAACTACAGTACCAATATATCGTTGAGAGTTGAAGACCTATTGTTTTAAGATTACGCTCCCACGGTGGATAAGGTTTGAAGATGAGGCTACATGTGGACATATTATAAACCTCTTCATTATTAAAACCAATATATCTTTGACCCCCCACAGTGAGTCTGAGGCTACAAGCTAACCCCCAGAACAAGATACACTTCCGAGGGATCTCCCCAGAACGCGGCTTCGCTGACTTCATCTTCGCCCACATCATCCTGCACTTGGTCACCATGAACTTCATAGGATAAATTACATACCGTACCGTCCATCATCTACGATATTTCTCTTTTTGCGGAAAATTATTTTTATAGAGAGAAACAACAACAACAACTTGTCTTTCAGTGAGCCGAGAGTTTGATGACTTTTGTTTTGTCGTCGGTGTAGTTGGTGCCGACATAATGGGAACGTGAAATAAAGCCGTTACATTCCTTTTGATGTATTGTCCTTACCAGTGTATATGTTGTCTCAGTGTAATAATAGTGATAACAATGTAGGATCACCTTGCTATTAGGCCTCGCAGTTAGGTTATGTTAGTATTAGTGTGTTTAATCATCAGGTAAAATAAGCTGGGATCCCTAACAGGTGATCCACTATAATAATAATAAACTGCGTGGCTGAGTTATATTGAGGCAGTATTGTTGCTCTTAAGAAAACACATGACTGAAAATATACAAAAGTTATTATCTTGGTAAATTTCAGTTCACTTCACCCTGAGCCAAGTGTTTGCTGTTTAATTTGGATCCTGTATATGGTTATTGATGGTTAAGGGGAGGTGTGGTTAATGGTCATATAATTCTCTGGCAAAAAGGATCAGAGTTAAAAAATCTAATTACTCCTGTATTCAGCAGAGACAAAGGAAGAATTCAATTTCTATTATATAAAATCATCCTTCAGATACAGTTTACAAAATAAATCCAGAGGGAAGCCCCACTACGGGAGAAATGTGTGTGTTAATAGGAGGTCCCTAATGCAGGTAGGAAGTGCTGTATAAGTACATCATTCTAGTGACTCTGGCTCGGTAGCAATAAGGTGCGATGCAGTTCCAAGTATAACAGTACATATTGGCCATTTTTACAACTACAGTACTATGTAACAACGATTGTGTTCTTGAGTGTTGGAAATGTTCATAATGTAAGAAATGAACACAAATTTGATATTTTCTCAACCCAAATCAGTTAGAACATAACATTCTCAGACAGCTTCACCCAAACCTTTTCAAGTCTCCAACTACAACCTTTATACCTCCTTCCGTTCTAAGGGAGGTGTATGTGCCTACTACAACACACGTACACCTATAGCTCGACTCACGGATCTTGAATCATCCCTTTATGATGTCATCTGGTTCAAAATATCTCTACCAACTGTGACTATTTTTCTTTGTTTCCTAAACTGTTCTCCCAACTCTACCAACTATTTGGAACTCTTTGACCATCTCACTTCTTGCCACGAGTCGTTGCTATCCACACGCCCCAACACCGAGATCCTCTACCTGGGGGACTTCAATTTACATCACAGAGAGTGGCTTGGCCCTGCAAGGGGTCATCACCATCAATGAGTCATCCCTCAAGGTGTAGTACAAGACCTTCCATTTTTACCTTGTATATTTGGTTCAGATTGTGCCCTGTGAACCTTGCCCTTCCTGTGTTGTTAAGATTGGTACTTTAACTTTGGTATGGCATCACCCAGGGCGTCTTCACCACTCTTATAACCAATGGAGAAACTGACTTGTTTTTATTGGTCTAAAAAAATACTCTACTTTAAGGTAGATGAAGGGAATTTAAAAATGGCTCTTTTTAATACATTGGACCTTTATTCGTTCAGCCGGAGAATTGTGATAGGTGCAGTGGTTATGGGTGATGCTGGTGGTTAAGTTAATGTGAGGTTAATGTTCTTGTGAGTCTGGTGGTTAAGTTAATGTGAGGTTAATGTTCTTGTGAGTGGTGGTTAAGTTAATGTTCTTGTGAGTCTGGTGGTTAAGTTAATGTGAGGTTAATGTTCTTGTGAGTCTGGTGGTTAGGTTAATGTTCTTGTGAGTCTGGTGGTTAATGTTCTTGTGAGTCTGGTGGTTAAGTTGATGTTAGGTTAATGTTCTTGTAATGTTCTTGTGAGTCTGAGTGGTTAAGGTAATGTGAGGTTAATGTTCTTGTGAGTCTGGTGGTTAGGTTAATGTTCTTATGAGTGATGGTTAAGTTAATGTGAGGTTAATGTTCTTGTGAGTCTGGTGGTTAGGTTAATGTTCTTGTGTGGTTAAGGTAATGTGGTTAGGTTAATGTTCTTGTGAGTCTGGTGGTTAAGGTAATGTGAGGTTAATGTTCTTGTGAGTGGTGGTTAAGGTAATGTGAGGTTAATGTTCTTGTGATTGGTGGTTAAGTTAGGTGTAGTTAATATTGAGGTGTGTGTAGGTTAATGAGCTGTGTAGTGTGGTAATGGGTTAAATAATTAAACGGTGTTAAATTTGTTGCAGAGTAGTACAAGAATGTATCACCTGAAGATTAGACACCCCAGCATATTAATGTTAACCTAACGTAACGTAACACCGACCTAATCTGACCCACCAGGTAGTGTTAAGGTGAGTTGGTGTAGGTAATTATCGGGGAGTGTAAGGAAAGTGGTTAAAGGAATTACACCGTTATGTCCTGGGTTCATTCCTCAGTTTGGGACAAGTGAGAAGGATGTTAGTGTGACCTTCATTACTAAACATGGCAGGTTATCTCCAGGTACTGCAGTTTCCTCCTGTGTTAACACTGGACCTTAGAGGAGGAGAGCATTTTCATTGATGCTAAAACAGTATAGTCTACCCTCCTCTTTAGACGTTTTCTTTGGTAAGTTCGTCATTCTACCATCAGGTAGCGCCACGGTCTCACCTTGACAACTCTGTAGAAACAAAGGTTATCAGGGAGAGTTATATTGTCTTATTATATATTCCTTGGTTTGGGTGTATAGTTGACACCTCCATTACAGTCAACGTTACAGATTATGGTGACGCTTATGGCTGACCTATTAGATAATTCACGATAATATATATTATAATAGAGCTTTGTTACTATATATGCTGTACCATTAGAAATAAAAAATATTACATATACAAAATAGAACCAACGAACAAGTCTTGTGTTTGAATTACCTCAGCCAATCAACGCCTTCAACGCTCACTGGGCGGGAACAGTCGGTGCTAACGGCTTCCTCCACAAAGATCGAGTCATATTCTCAGTTGTGTTTTTCGTAATTTTTTTTTATCCTGTTAGTGTTATAGTGAACATTGTATCGCCATTATGCGGGGAAAATGTCCATCAAGTGATAGTGTCGGTGAAGGAGCCAAGAGAGTCGCTAATATGGTCCTTAAATACAAGTTGACGATGGAAGGCTCGACTAGACTAAGAGGTGGAGTGATAACATCTCTCTTAACTTACCACTAACTTACCTACACTAACTTACCTACACTAACTTACCTACACTAACTTACCACTAACTTACCAACACTAACTTACCAACACTAACTTACCTTGAAATACATGTACGCAGGTATATTTACTAGTGTATGTAGTTTTTAATTTGGTAAACTGGATGTTTCAATAATTAGGAGTAGAAATATATACCAAATGTTATCAACACCTTGAGTGATGTTTGTTTGAACGGTGTTGAGCATCTTTAATACTTAATGAACTACGGCACATCAGAAAAAATACGCAAAGTCTGTTTATCATTAACATTAAATGGAATTGTTGAAGGAAAAATGTGAAAATAATTTGAATTGTATATATTTGTCTTAGTAAACATTTGGTCAAAACTTGGAGGAAAATATAAAAGAAAAATAAACAAGCCAATAAAATTCGAGATATGTTATTCAGATGCCACTTCACAAAGCTTGTTTTTCCGTAATTTTGATTGAGGTGAATAATCCGCTGTAAAGTGTCCCAGTTGCGTATATAGTTACTGGCTTTGTAGTGAGTGAGTGACACATTGCAGCTGAGGCACAAAGGTTTACCCCCTTTAACAGTAAATGTAAAATCATCATCCCACTTTGGCTTAAAATTTCTGTTTTCATGCTCATACTTTTGCGTCATAACAAATATTTCAAAACAACTTATTTTTATGAACTGTAAACGCAACTTGTGTCCGGAGCGTACCAGTTAGATCTGGACGGTTCCTCGTCTTGTTAATGTGTCAGGCTGGGCCCCCTTCCCTGCCCCTCCCTCCAACTTTCCTCCGTAATCCCTGACCTGAAATTTACTGTCCTGACTCAACACTGATGAACGACACCTGACTAAATTCTAGCATTAAAATTAAGATTTAAATTCTTAGATGTTTATACTCGCCTTGAATATTTAACTTAAGTTTTAATCCAGTGGCCTCAGGAAGAAGTTTGTTTAGGAGGACTCGGGTGATAATCTTGCCAGCTACAGACAGCAGCGAGATCCCATGGTAGTTGCCACAGTCTGACTGGTCTCCTTTGTTCTTATAAATATTGACAATGGAGGCGTCTTTAAGAGCTTGGGGGATTTGCTCCTTTTCCCATATATTCTCCAGGAGAGAGTGGAGACGGCTGGTAAGCAGAGGTCCTCCTGCTTTATACACCTCGGCTGGGATTCCATCAGGACCTGAGGCTTTGTTATTTTTCATCTGTTTGATGGCAGTAGCTACCTCATCCAGGGATGGAGGATAGCTGAGGTGGGTCAGCTCTGGATGCTGAGGGACCTGCTGGGTAGTCAGGACATCCACAGCAGTGTTTCGGTTGAGCAATGAATGGTAGTGCTTCTTCCAGCACTGAAAGAGGCCTTCACAGTCTTTAATTATGAGGTTACCGTCAGATGAGCGGAGGGGGGCTGCTCCACGAGTGATTGGCCCATAAAATGTTTTAGTGGAAATGAAATATTCGTGCATCTTGTGTTGATGTGCACATTTTTGTGCTTCACATGCTTTATTTTTAAGCCAGTCGTTCTTTAGATTGCGAAGTTCCTGCTGGGCTGCCGCTTTCTTCTTGCGGAAGGTATCAGCTTTGGTCCGAGACTGAGTGTTGTTCTGCCAGTCAGTAAAAGCAGCACGTTTATCATCGATGAGTACTTTGATTGCCGGGTCATTTTCATCAAACCAGTTCTGGTGTATTCTATTGACCTGGCCGAGGGTCTCTGCAGGGTTTTGTCATAACAGTATTAAGAGTATCCCATTCAGCACTGGGATTCACGTTGTTTGCTGTTGGGTTGTTTATCAGCCCATATTCGAGCTGCTCTCTGAAAGCATGTCCTACCGCTGGATCCTCCAGACGCTTAGTATTAAAACCTCTTCTGGAGGCTTGCTGCCTTCGCCGTTATGGGGCGACCTGAAGTGAGAGCTTGGATCTGACAAGTCGATGATCAGTGTCACAGTGGTATGAGCCTCGCATGGCACGAGTGATGAGGACATCTCGGCGATCTCTTTCTCTGACAATGATGTAGTCAATGAGATGCCAGTGTTTGGATCGTGGGTGTTGCCACAAACCCTTGAACTTGTCGGCCTGTCTGAACAAGGTATTGGTCATAGTGAGGTTGTGAGCAGCACACTTGCTGAGGAGGAGTAGGCCGTTAGGATTACACTTACCTAGTCCATTTCTCCCTATGGTTCCCAGCCAAAAGTTAGCATCTCTGTCAACTCTAGCATTGATGTTGCCAAGGAGCACAACCTTGTCTTCTCTGGGGGTAGAGGTTAACACTTTGTCGAGGTCGGCGTAAAAGGCCTCCTTGATGTCATCGTTTGGAGCCAGTGTTGGGGCGTATGCATTGATGAAGAAGGCATGACGTGAGTGCTTCAGTGGGACTCGAAGCATCATGAAGAGCTCGTTGATCCCAATAGGCATTTCAGTTAGCCTGTGTAGGATGCATTGGCGGATGGCAAAGCCCAGCTCAATAAATGCGGGTTTTCTCTGCAGCAGGCTTACCCTTCCAGAGGAAGATGCAGCCAGATCCCCGTTCTGTGAGTTGGCCCTCATATGGGAGCCGGGACTCACTGATGGCTGCTATGTCGATGTTGTACCTAGCCAGCGCTTTTACCACAAGGGCAGTTCTTCTTTCAGGACGAACATTTGTGCCAGTATCCAGAAGGGTCGATTACAAGAGGTTGTATGGTTTGTTTTGGTTTGGATCTGTGATTTTGGTTGTGTTGTCGACCACATAAGGATGACCTTACTGGGTGCGGTTGCCCAGTCAAGTTGGGTTTTTAGGCAGGTTATGTTTAGGGCACCTTTTCTAGCCCCTCCCCATGTGGGGTGAGCAGAGTGGCTCCTCGTAAGGGCTGCTCAGTCGCACAGACAGGACTGGATTGCACTGCTGCCTAGATCCCAGTTCATAAACGACCATCTTATCTGTGCCGCCCATGTGCAGAGTTGTGACTAGAGACTCCCGGCAGTCATCTCTGCCTGTCCCCGTCGCCACTCGTCCGTCGCCATGGGACTTATGGGGTATAGGGGTTTTGATGATGATGAGAGGTATGATGAGCTGGGTGATGGCTGTGTGTGAGTTGATTTATGTGGTGAGGCAGGAGCGCAGGCTGCAACCACACATCTTGGCTCTCCCTTTTCCTGATCCAGTGGTGCAAGTGTTGCAACGACTGGGGAGAGGGAGAGTAGCAATGGACTGCTAATTGCCCAGTTTGTTGGGTTTCACCTTAGTAGTCTGTCCATTAGGCATTGCCTTCGTCCGCCGGTGTAGTCGTTGGGTTCCCATGGTGGTCACCTCTTCCGCCTACACCGCCGTTGGGGTCTTGTTGGAGCTGTGTAAGCATGTCTGCCTGATGCGGGGCTCCACTGCAGATTTTTCTTTCGGGGTTTACTTCCGTAGCCTTATGCCTGCCAAGGTTAATCATCAAGGTAGCGGGGCGGTGGTTGGTAGGCGCCAGGACGTGTCCACATGGTAGTAGGCCTATGCGCCGTTTGTCTGGAGCCCACTGCTACTCAGAGATTTCCTGCTAATCTGGCCTGGGCCCACGAGGCACGTTGCAGTGTGTTGCCACGAGGAGGCACAGCAGGAGTCCTGATGGTGAGGAGGCTGTGTACTGGCAGGGGAAGACTTAAGCAAGTTGCTTCCCTGTTCACCACGAGGGCTAGCCAACGGCGGCAGGAGATGGCGAGAGGGAGCAAGGAGTGTTTGCACCTGAACACTAACATAATGCTGCCACTCTAGACACATTTCACCACCCTGTGTGTGGGTGCACACACACACACACACACACACACACACACACACACACACACTCACTCACACACACACACACACACACACACACACTACCACACTGGGAGACTCGTGGAGCGTCGACTCAACTACTAACACCATTTTTCACACCTTCTTGGATCTGTTTACACACACACACATCACGTACGTTCACCAGGACCCGTGCTCAAGGGGAACCGCTTCGCCCTGGCATACACAGCATAACACTGGTGGGTGTACTGTAGGCACCTGATGGCTTTGTTGACAATCCTCGGTCGAATTACTCTCCCTGTTTACTATTTGTGTACCTGTACTGTCTAGGTATATTGTTTATATACCTGTACTGTCTAGGTATATTGTTTATATACCTGTACTGTCTAGGTTTATTGTTTGTATACCTGTACTGTCTAGGTATATTGTTTGTATACCTGTACTGTCTAGGTATATTGTTTATATACCTGTACTGTCTAGGTTTATTGTTTGTATACCTGTACTGTCTAGGTATATTGTTTGTAAGATTGTAACTATCAATTAACCTACCAATTAATCAACGCGTGGTGTGCCAAACTAGCGAAGTCTATCCTCAACATCAACTATCATAATAGAAAACGAGAAACAAAAACATTACAGTATCTGGTCAGTGAAAAGTGTGTGCGTTTGTTTGTCTGTTTACTGAACAACCACAACAGAAAACGGAAGGAAATAACAGAAAACGGGTAACAAAACATTAGCTGGTCTATTTGTGATGGTGTAAGTCTTTGAAAATGTTTCTATTACCTGCGGCAGGCGGACGTTCGCTAAGCTGTGTACTTTAATCCTTTCTTCGACTTTGTATTGTTGGGGCGTTGTGTGTGTGTGTGTGTGTGTGTGTGTGTGTGTGTGTGTGTGTGTGTGGATCCACCTGGATGGTAACCACTCTAGTTTA